AGCTTTTATTTATTTATTTATTTATATTTTCTCTAGAACTGGAACATTCCCTCCTAGGAGAATGTAAAGTAGAGGAATAACTTACAGACTTGTATTTAACAATCAAACAAGTCATTTTCAAGCTCTATTCCAATGAGAAGTAGGCAAGTTGATTTCCTGCATAAAAAGCATCTCTTAGCTCTGCGTTTAGCTTGATTCTCATTCAAAATGGCATTTGTGATGTTGGCTATTTATGTTAGGATTGGGATTGAGTGTCATGCTATAGGTAGTAGAAGGTGTTTTTGGTTGGTGTTGATTAAACTGGCTAGTTTGGTAGTCATCAAACCTGCCTAATGGACATCTTGGGCTTTTCCATAAAATGTTTTGAGGCTCTGGTTCTACGTCACTGTTCTCTTGGTCTCTCTTTTCTGTGCAGGTTTCCACCTTATTTTCCTGCCGTATGCAGATGACAAACGGAAAGTTGATTTTACAGAAAAGGTGCCAGCCAATCGAGAACAGGTGGACAAAATGAAGCAAATCATTCAAAAACTCAGATTCAAGTACAGGTAAGTGGAGACGGAGAGGAAGGGGAGTGAGGGAAGCACAGCACGACTTCACAGCACTACTTGCTGTGTTAAAGGCATTCTTCAAATATAGTGTGAGGTTTTGAAGCCCTAGGTGGTTTTTATATAGCTGTTACTTGTAATTTCACTGGGATGTTTAGGTGTAATTATTAATCTAGTGGGCTTCCTATTTTTCTTTACATGTCCACGGTAAATGCTTTAGAAAGGCATAGTTAGAAATACGTTGGTTGTGAAACTATCCATAACTTGGTGGCTCTACTTGGCAGTCAAGCCAGGCATCCTAAAGGCTGTGAAGCTGGTAGTTGTCTGTAAGACTTTGAAGTGATCTTTAGAGCTGATCTTCATGGCTTTGTTTCCCAATATGGCCAAACTTCACTGTGCAAATGTTGCTGTTCCTCTTTAAAATTCACACATTGTGTGATATTTAAGTCCRTTAGTGTTTAGTCTCAATCTACCGCAGATCAGACCTGGGTCTTTTGAGTACCGTAGAATTAATAGTTAGAGTTTTCATCATAGCTGGATGCATAGGATGCATTTCATGAACTGCTTTTATGGGAAATTTATTTTTAGGAAGGTAGCAAAACCAGCATTAGTGCAGAATGCGGCCATCTCCATTTGGTTCATGCATTTTTCTAACTCAGCTGATGTGTGACAGGATGATGGTTCAGCAGATAAACTGAAAAGAGGAAAGGCAGTTCCTTCACTGAGATGGATTGCTATGGAGGAAAGAGGAAAGAATTTTATTTTGAAATAAGTCTGTCTTCTCAGCAGCAAGCATTGAAATTTTGGGGGGTTCTTGACAGGACTGACAGCTTTGAGAACCCAGTTTTGCAGCAGCATTTCCGGAACCTGGAGGCTTTGGCACTGGATATGTTGGAACCGGAACAAACTGAAGATTTGACAAGTGAGACCTATTGGTGGATGCAAAGGAAGGTGGCATAGAGGAGTTTTGACCTGCTTAAAGTCAGAGATGTGTTGCTACAAATAAAAAAGAAGAAAGTTTTTGTTTGTCTTTTTAGTTATGTGCAGTTCCAAGATATGGAACTCTATCCATTCTGAAATACCTTACTTTCCAGTAACTGTTAAGATAAGGAAAAAAAAATATTCACTTTACCCTGAAAAAATCTAATTGAACCTTTTTTTTTCTTTTTTCCTTTTGTGATGAAAATTGTTTTCTCTGAAATTGCTGTCCTCAAGAGCCACATTAATATTTCAGTTTGATAACTGGCAGAATTATTGAGAGAATCATTCTGTTGGGAGTGCATTATGCCACCTTGTGGCTCTGAGAGTTTCCAGCGGCCTAATTTTGACAGGGGAATTAGCTCTTACTACTTTTTGTACTCCTGTTTAGTACCTAACAAATAACTAAAGGACAAACCTTTCCCTTTTGCCAGTGCCAAAGGCTGAGGAGATGAGCCGTAGGCTGGGCAACCTGGTGGAAGAGTTTAAGCAGCTGGTTTATCCTCCTGACTATGATCCTGATAGGAAGGCTGTGAAGAGGAAACAGGGTGAGTAATGACGCAGCACGGTGGGCTTATATCCAGCTGCAGTTCTTAGTTATCAGTGTTGTGGTATCCAACTAAAGAATGGCTGGAATGAGAACTTGCTTAGTTGTAACCCAGAGTAGTGTGGGCAAATTCCTATAAACTTTTTATTTTTTTTTTTGGCTAACTTTGTTTTTTATGACAGAGTAGTAAAGTCCTTAATACTTTGATTTGTTTTTCTSAGTGAGGAAGCAAATTCGTATATATGGATTGTTTAGCAAGTCGATAGTTAGACATCTTTAGGACTAAATATTTAACCAGTGCTCAAGTATGTGTGTGATGTGGGAATGTCAGTTAGCTGAAATGCATATTGAGTAATTGCAGCCTGCTGCCTAGATGAGAAGSCCTTTAGAAGTTTCACTTGTGCATGATGTTTCCATCAGAACACAAACTTTTGCACACTTGAGTTTGAGATCACTCATATCGATGACATCCATATAGTAAGTGACAGCTGCTGTATAGAACAAAATACCAAAATGAGATCTGAGTGTGTAGGTAGTCATTGAAATGCCATGTACTAATGACCATTAACTGTGGGATGAGCAAAGTTGTTTCTTTACGTTAAGAAATTCTTTTCAAAACCTGCTGGTCCAAAATGTATCTTTCTAACAGGTGCTTTTGATGGTCAAGCTGAGAAGAAACCCAAGACAGAGTCTATCTCCCAAGATGAACTGAGGAGCTATGTGCAGAAGGGCACTCTAGGCAAGCTCACGGTACCTGTTCTGAAGGAGGCRTGCAGGCTTTGTGGCCTGAGGGGTGGTGGGAAGAAGCAGGAGCTCATGGATGCATTAACTGAATACTTTAAAGACCACTAAGCAGGAGGAGAAGTCTATTGTTTGACTTCTCTCTGCTTAAAGTTTTAGTTSTCTTATGTGGAAGCTGTCTGTACAGTCTTGCTATAGAGGATAGAGGAGRATAGGACTCTGTTGCTGAATTTAGCAGTGGAGAAACTTTTAGCTTTGGAAAAATCTCTGCTAACTTGGGTTCTGGTCACAGTAGCCAAAGGCTAGGGAGTTAAATTCCTTGCCAACTCGGGTCACTCACTGAAAATGAACACAGCTGTGCCTTCATGGTTTCTTAATAAAAGGGTTTTTTTGGACTTTGTACTTTGAAAGACTTTTTTTGGCCACAAAGACAGCAAAATTCATTTTTATGTAAGTAAGAAACCAGAATGATCTCTGAACAGAATGACCTATGTTAATGACTCTGCATTAATTCATGCAAATCTTTGTGCTAACGGAAGGTATAAATGAGGTGTGTTACTGTGGTACTCTCCAAAACTGCCAATCGCTGTTGCTATTGTAAGCAAACGGGGTCCTTGTTCACCATCCTTTCTCCCATCAGCATTGTAAAGATCATCAGTAGATCTCAAAGGAAAAAATCACTATTGCTAAGTGGTATCCAATCTCCTGTCCAAAAACCCAACAATTTGCAAAGGTGTTCAGCCCARTTTTCCAGTTTTAAACAGTAACTGCAGAACCTGGTTAGAGAAAAGTCCTGTTCCCTAGAGGACTGCAAGCACTTACCCCAGTTAAATTACTGAATTAGCACAGAGCTTTTCCCCCTCTGTAGCAAAGGTGAGTCAGACTACTTAGAGGCTTCTGTGCTTTAACCTGTGTTTTAAAAATAGCAAGTTACAGAGATTAGCTATTGCTTGCTAATTGTGGTATATTCTTGAATCCTACTCATGTAGGCTGTATCCAGGGAGATATATATATATATTTAAATATATATATATTTTTAATTTCCACCCCCARGTCACCTCACCTGTCTTGCAGCGCAAGAGGAGTAAAACCAGTATGTGGATAAATAGTCCTTCTTGCCCTAGAAAGCAATGCTGATTGTTTAGCTAAACTATAACCTTTTCACTGGATGCAAAGGTGGAACACGTAAAGGATTTATTTGGGGATGTTGTGTTTTTTTTGTGCCCAGCACAGAGATTCCTGTTGGGCACAAAAAACAATTAAGCACCTCCTTCTAGAATTAAACTGCATGTTTAAGGTTGTGCTCAGGCCCCAGTGAGTGCAGTGAGCACCTTGCCAGCGCCCTGCTTGCTTCTACCTGTACAGCTCATCTTAAACGAGCAGTTTATGTTACGCAGATTGATTCAAGATAGTTCTTTCTAATAAAGCTTTGTCTAAACATATTTTCTTTCTATTAGTTCCTTTAGAAAAAGAAGTTGATGTAAATGCTTAAGAAAGCTTTAATCGAAGTGATAAAACTGAGACTAGCTTGTTCTTAATTCTCTGAGTTTTCTCTCCCGCAGTGCCCCTTTTCAATTGCCTCTTGGCTTGCTAACCTCCAGCTTCCGTATGTTCCAGCCTTTGGAGGATAAGGACATGTTTTGTCCAAGTTACTAGAGCCTCTCCCTGCTTTTTTTGGGGCAGGCTACTGCATTAAGTAAAATCCATCAGAGATGGTAAGAGGAGGTTTCAGAGCAAAAAATTACAACTGTTTTGCTTGCTCAAGAATCCTTTATTTCTGCTTCTCGTGTGCTTTGCTTACACCTTTTGGCCTGGCACAGTATTGCTGGGGCAGATCCCAAGTTGGGGTTTTAAACACAACAAGCCCACCACTCACCGGCACTTTAAGGGAACAGCAGCAGGGAACATACACTGGAAAGGACTCAGTCTTTTTAGTGACTTAAGTTCATGTCATCCAGGATATTACTAATATCAGACACTTAGAAAAATATAAAATATAAACATTAAGTTGTCCACGGTCTTTCATGACCTGATTTCACATGTTTAGGATGTATTTACTAAAAGTTAGCAGTTGGTGCCTCTGTGGAAACCTCAAAGGAGAAATTTTGCCTGCTGTTACCCTACCGAGTAGTGTTTGCTATCCAGGCCTTCCCATTCTAGCTTTGCTTCCTACTTTGYGAGCACAGGGAAGGCCCTGAAATGCAGCTAAGTAATCCTGGAGGGAGAGAGACAGAGGCTGTAGAAGCTTCAGTCACTAAAGTCCTGACTTCTTACAACAGAAGGGAGTTTGGCCTGACCTCCAGTGTAGATAATCTTTTACTCTACAGCTGGAACAGTAACTGGATTTTACTATGTAGCACGTTTTTAACCAAAGCTACCCCCATAAAGCCATCAAGAATGTCTAAAATGATAATGGTGCTTCATGCTTTTCSAGAACACAGGGTTATCTATGATTCTCTTCTCGTATTGCAAGGTGTTTCTGCTGGAGAGGGAATAAAGAAACCTGTTTTTCCTACTGTGCTGGCTATGGCTTGCAGTAGCTTCTGTAAAAAAACACCACATCCTTTCAAGAGGTAGTGGTCACCTATTCTTTACTTTATATGAGCCAAAACAAGCCACCATGGATTTTATTACTTAGTGAAATATCGTAGAAACCCAAGCCTTGCAGCTCATTGATGCACTCTACACAAAGGAAACTGAAGGAGCATGAACTACTGCCCTGCAGCAACCTCTAGCCAGGGTCTGATCAGCTTAACTTAGCAAGGGCTAACACTTCAGTWGGAGATATCTGCTGTCAGAGTATCACAGCTATGGAGATTCCTGTATTCATCTTTGTCAGTGTTTTTATTTCTTCCCAAAAAGTCAGCATTTAAAAACAAAAGCAGGATCAGAGATTTTGCCTTGTGTGTTGCCATGAGGTTTCTGCTYCCCCTACCCCTCTCAAAGCAGTCCCTTGTCTGGTCTCAAGGAGAAACGAAAGCTTGTCTTGTGGGTACTGGCTCCATYCACGCACACTGCACAGTAGCTGCTCTGCCTCCTACCCAGGCTACCCTGCATGTCAAAGCGATGCCTGCAGCACAGTGTGTGCTGCAGCTCTGTGGCGGAAAACCACAGCACAAAGGAAGTTAAGGAGGAGGTTAAAGCCCTGAGCAGGCAGACATGGAGATACRGGGGGTGGTGTCTTTTTGTTCTTTTAAAGATCAATCAAGAAATACAGCTGTACAGCCACTTTTCAAGAAGTGGTACAATGAMAATGACTGTGTTGACAGAAGGAAAAAAAAAAAAGAGGGGCAGAAGAGGCAGAAACACTTTCAGAGTTAAGTCACTATTAAACAAACAAAAAAGATATTTTGAAATGAAACACTGGTATCAAAACTATCACCGCATCAACTACAGCTACATATTATTTTCCTCAACTCCAGCTTGTATTCCACAAACTCATGGGCATTTAGACCAACAGTCTTTCTATAGCTTGCTGCACAGACTGGATCTGAGGCTTCAGCTGTGATCCCTCCTTGATGGTGATTGAGCAGGCAATGACGGGCCGGGAGACGCCACAGGCCCGGCCCAGGGCCTGCTTGGAGCGCACGAAGACGTAGGGCACGTTCTTGTCCTCACAGAGAAGAGGGAGGTGCAGGATGATCTCCAAGGGCTCAGCATCTGCAGCCATCACAATGAATTCTGCTATTCCTCTGTTGAGTGTTTTCGTGGCTGCAAGAGAAACTTAAGATTAAGTCTAGGGTTTTTCCGTAAAACACGTGAATAAAAATCATTAACAGATGTTGAAATTAGCATGAGCAAGCAGGAAATCTAGCGGTAGCACAAGGACAGCTCACAGCAAATGGCACTGCAGGGCTATGGAAGAGTGGCAGTCAGCAGAGCAGGGATGCAAGCTGATCTTCCTAACACCCAGAAGTCTGGATTTGTTCAGCCTGGAGAAGAGAAGCTCAAGGGGTGTGTGTGTGTGTGTGTGTGTGTGTGTGGATGTGAGATGTCCTTGCTGTCTTCCACTGCCTGAAGGATAGAAAGGACAGCGCCAGACTGTCCTCATGGGTGCACAGTGAGAGGGCATTGACCTGCAGTCAATGATTGCTGCCTGTTGGAAATTCTGGTAGGACACAAGGCGGAGGAAAAAAAAAAACAAAACCAAAAAACATTGAGTAGCATAGGTCCTAGGACAAGGCCCAGAGACTATGGGCCTTCATCCTTAGAGATATTTTCTTTGTCTTAAGAGCTAGAAATATCTTTAGTGATATTTTTTTAAAAAGAGCAACTAGATAAGACCGAGCAACCTGAATCAGCTTTAAAGGGAGGTTTCTCCAGACAGAAAGGCACAATAGACCTTCTGAGGTCTCTTCAAACCCAAGCTACTTTATAATTCTAAACTAAGGAGGCACCTGGCAATCCCAGTGCCTCACCACTAAAGCACACATGAACATGGTACAACAGGAATACAGTCTGAGCATCTAGTAGAACTATATACTAAAGTGCTGAAGCAGTTACAGTTTAACTGTCTCAAATATTTCCTAAGCTGACAGAGAAGTGGAGGAAAACATGGCAAATATAAAAGCAATGGCACACAGCTAGAGAGAGAGAAGACACCCTCCAGACACAGCTTCTCAGAGCTCTTCCTATAAGTCAAACAATCCAGTTTGGTGACAGGCAGCTCTCACCTTCATTGGCTCCCTTGCGTAGCTGCTTGTAGTTGCAGGATTGCTGCACAAGATCCAGGAGTGTCTTGGTGAGCTGCGCATCAGCCAGCGGGTAGGCTTTGGGGTTCACTTCTGCCTCACTCTGAAGAAAGGGAAGAGCAAAGAGTGTTACAAGAGCAGCAAGGGGGGCTTTTGCTGGGTGCAGCACTGCGTAGGCCTTGAGTCCATCACATGTATCAACTGCTGGGGCCTGCTCAACGCATACACTAAATTACCCCTGCATTTCATTTCTCCTCTTCGAAGCACACGGCCCCTCTGTGCCCACCGCTGGGGCTTGCGGAGTTGGGCGATTTGAGTGCTGTGAACTAACAGCGGCCTGCACATACGAAGCGCTTCAGAGCAAGCTGCTGCCAGCAGCAGCAAGTTGAGACCTGAATTGGGAAGAAAACCCGAGAAGCATAAGCTACGAGATTCAGTCCTCCAAGTTATGAAGAGCTTCGAGATTTGAACAACAGGGGCCTGTTAGAAGCAACACCCCAGCGGCACGGAAAACCAGCAGCGGCAAAGCTCGGGTTCCCGTTTAAAGGTTGGCGATTTGAACGCGCTCAGCGCTCCCGCGGCCCTGCGCCCTACCGCGGAGCCGGGCACCCAGCACCGGCCCCGCACTCGGGCCGCTCCCGCTTGCGAGGACACCCGGGGCCTCCCTCCGCCATCCCCGCGCGGCCGCCACGTGCGCCCGTCCCACCCCGCTCACCATGGCCGCGGCCTGGGCTGCCCGCGCCGCACGCGCCCTCTCGGCCCGAAAGCTTCACGGAGGAGGAAGAGGAGGAGGAAGAGGAGGAAGAGGAGGAGGAGGAAGTGAACGCGGGCGGGCGGCGCCTGTGGCGCGGCTGCCGCCGGGCCCGCGAGCGCTGCCTGCCCGTGGACTGCTGTGTGAATACGGTGTATTAGTTGCAAATATGGGCGATATAATCAAATTGTTAGATATAGGGTTGGCTTTATACGTTGTGGTACTTCGGCAAAAGCCATGCCTCACGGCGGGCTGCCCAGCGGCGGAGCAGCCGCTCACTAGGCGGCGCTAACGGCCGGCGCCAACGGTCGCCCCCAACGGCCGCCGCGCGCGCATGCGCGCATGCGCGCGCGGCGGCCGTTGGGGGCGACCGTTGGCGCTGGCCGTTGGGGGCGACTGTTGGCGCCGGCCGTTGGGCCATGGCGGCGTCGTGCGCGCGGCTGCCCGGCCGCCACGGGGCGCGCTGGGTGCTGCCGCTCCGCCCGCCGCTCTGCCTCGCCTGTGCCCTGGAGACCCTGGGCGATGGCGGCGCTTCGGTGGGCACCTCTGCCGCCCCCTTCTACCAGCCTCGGGACATGGTGCCCTCAGGCTTTTGGGGCCYGTGCTGGCCCCACGGCGAGGGCAGCCTCCCTCCGCACCAGCGGCTTTTCCATYGCCCCCTTGCACCCCGGTCCAAGGCTAACAAGGTGTTTGTTATGTTGTCTCCGCTCCACAGTTGGTGCGCAGGAAGCACGAGCTCTCCCGGCTCCGAGAGGCCCTGGCCTGGCAGGCGCTGCCCGTGGTCCAGCTGCTGGCGCCTGATGAAGGSCTCTGTGCCCACCTCATAGGAGCTCTCTTTGGTAAGAGTGCTTGTGGCCTCACGCAGTAGCAAAGGTCGTGCTTGGTTTTGAATGGATTAAGAAACATGAAATTTCTCCCTAATTGAAAAAAATTTTTTTTTTTGAGACTACTAATAACTACTTCCACACTCCCACCTTTCCATTTCAGGTGTATTATTCCCTGTGGAAAACTGCACCTGTCATTTGAGTCAGAATAGATTAATTTCCATATTCACCAAGGAGTAGAATTAGCATGTTAATAAAGCTCTCTCGCCTAAGTAGCTTAGCTTAGCTTGGTTTAAGGACTTGTCGGACTCAGCGCTCTGGTTTACRGCGCTTCCCAGAGCAACTTCCAGTCTGCCGTCACACCTCAGTGCTTCTTAATCGTGCTGGACTATGGCATTACATGACAACTCATACAGAATTGAAAGGGTGTGTTTGAAAAGATACTGTAGGATTTAATACCAAATGTGCAAAACACTTATCACTGTAGTGCATTCTTTTTTACACCATCGCTTTTTATCCATAGAAATTCTTGTAGCTGTAGGACTGTATTACCAACTTCATAACTGAACACACTGTTCAGAAAGTGCTTTTCCAACCAGAGTCTSTGTGATCCCGAGCATCTCTTGGTGGTTTTTGTTTGCATAGAGGTGCTGGGGGAAAGGTCTCTGAAATGTTGGCCAAACTCTTGACAGAGAGGGAATAATGGTCTAAATGAAGCAACAATAAGGCAGGAAGAGAAAGGTGGAGGGTGTGAATGTAAGAGCCTTCAAAGAATAAATATATTGGATTCCCCTAATTCTCAGATCTCATTTGCACATCACAGATGTTTCTTGCTCTTTGGAGGGGAAGTGACTTACAAGCCCCTTCCCATGCCTTGACRCGATGAATAATTCAAACAGTGTTTCCCCAGTTGATTCACACAAACTGTGCAGTGCCTATGTTGGAAACGGAGCTAGGTTGGAAAGGGAGTCTTGTTTTCTTTTTTCTTCAGGTTTAGTTCTCTTGTTTAAATGGTCTGCATAYATGGTCCTATGCAGATGTGGAGGGAGCAGTGCTTATGGCCAGCCCAATCCTGTGTTGTAGGACCCTAACACTAAACAGCCCATAAGATGAGGGAGTTGTGTTTGCATTTCAATGCTCTTGCCTATTTTTATGTAGTAATTCTGTCTTTTTCTAAAAGGAAAATTTTGGACAGAAATTTTGGACAGAGCTTGAATGAACTAAGGGTGCATTTGATGCCAGAATGTAAGACACAGCTGAATGTCTTAATGTCCTTGTGTCCTGTTTTTGGAGGCATCTTTTGTGATACTSCTTAAGAGTATCCCTGTTCCTTTGCCAAAAACAGGTTGGTGTCTTGTGAGGCAGGGCAAAAGCAAAACAGTTGTAGAGGGATTTGCAGCTCTTTGCGAGAAGGTGCTGCAGGAATTAATTCCATGACTGATTATTGCTTCTCTTTTAGGRATGTTGCATACTGTGGAAGACAGCAGTGCCTTGGACCTATGCCTAGAAGGTGAGAGGCAGGTGCCGTGTCTCAGATGCTSATGGTTAGTGAGGTCAAGTCTGTGTCTAGTCCAAAACAGATAGTGAGATGTTCAGCTCCAACATGTCTAGAATTGGGAAGAAAATTTATTGTCCCTCAGTGCAGGGAGATGAGCAGCCTCTCCCGACTTTATGGTTGGGGAGGAGGATGGTGAGAGAAGCAGACACRTGGATTTAAATATTGGTCTCATACAGGCTCTGTGCACAGTGAATTTATCCTCAGATGGGTAGCAGTGCTAAACAAAGCCTTGTCTTCAGGCTTGACCCAAGGTTTATCAAAGCAAATGGAAATCATCCTGTTGGCTACAGTGAGCTTTGGGATCTGGGGCCTCTCCTCAGGATAGAGTGTTTGGGTTTTAGCTACTCCTCTTTACAAGTAATCCTTCRTTTGTAATCTGGAGGCAATGCCTGCAGGGATGAGAAGGGAATCTCTGCAGTCCAATTAACCTTGGGCATCTTTGCTGAGTCCAGTGATATTAGCAATGCGATGGTTCCCTCCTGTCCAGCTGTGACAGATGAAAAGAGGGATGATCAGCTCATTTCCGAGAGGGTTAGCAGTTTCCAGGCACGTACTTGACATGGTGTTACAAAGGTGAGAAGGTTTTCTGTCATGTTACCATTCCTCTGCAAGGTGGATGCTCTCAGACAGAGCCATTTTAACTGAGTGATAGCTAACTCGTGAGGATTTTTRCAGATTTTGAGAATTCCAATCAAGACAGGACCATTAAAACATCTATTTATCACTTCTATGTCTCTACTGAGCCCTTTAGTTTATGGGGCTTTTTTTAGTGGCTAAGGCTCCTAGGTAAACCTTAGAGGTACCAAGAGATGGTGCAGCTAGAAGGTTCCTAGAAAACAAACAGCASTTGTGCATTGGTGCCTGGTAAAAATAGTTTTTTGTTGATTCCTTCTGATAGGACAGAGTAGACAGAGTTTTTACAGTTGGCTGTAAACTCTTAAGTTATATCTAAACATAGTCAGCAATTGTGATTCTCATATCTTCTCAGGAAGATACGAGACATGTCTTTAAAGGACACGTCTCATAAATTTTCATGCTTTTGAAATCCTTCCCTGCTCAGTTTTCAGAAGTTGTGATGTTTTTAAACAAGGTATCTGTTTCTTTCTTCTCTTTTCCTCCTCTCCTCCCCCTCTCCCCATTTATTTTCTGTTCTGATGCTCAGTTTGTTGCTTGTAGTTTATTTGCACGTGCAGTTTGTTGTGCTGCTCGAATGGGATTGCTGTGGTATTGCTGCAGCAGCTCAGGCTGGGCTATCAGAAATGATAGCACAGGGAATGCAGACATTAGCCTGCTCTGTCAGCACCTCCTTGCTCTTTGCTCACCACTCTGCTAAAGCACCACAGAAGATGGATTGTGAGTGTCCTTTGATGTGAATTACTGATTCTGTTTCTCCTGCCTAGTTCTGGTGCAGCTTATAGTGGAGCTGAAGTCGGAGCAGTACTTGCGCTGTGTTTTGGATGAAAGCCAAAAAGAGGTCAGTGAAGATGAGTTGCCTGCCCTTCGCTTCAGTGCTTCAGGGGTTGAAATGAGAGTTCTGAGAGGCCCTGCAAAATCACAGCTCCTGCTCTAGCAGAGTGTCCTAGTGCCTGCTCCTCTCCTCTGATTTTGACAGTATTGGTGCCTGCTCTGGAACTTTTCTGTTATTCCTGGGAAGCCTCACAGCTGCATGGCTGCATGAGACCCTTACGAAGCTGTGGGCTTTCTCAGGTTCTTTTTCTGTGCCTTACTATGCTGATGATAAAAGGAGCTTTCCCAGCAAGCAGCTGWTCAGTGGGCTCTTGCTCTCTTCATTCTTATATTTGTGATAGTTCCATGGGGTGTAAAAGCTTAGGAAAATAGCAAAGGTGAGGAGTTCAGCTGGCTCATCTCTTCATATAAAAATTAAAGATGAGAGAGAGGAAGAGGAGCAAAAAGTAAGAGGCATCTTGGGTGAATTAAGAGACCACTGCTGCATTCTGCAGACTTAGTAGATGTGTCCAGGTTTTTCCTGTGATTTATCCTACATGGTGAAGAGGACCCTACCTAGGAAAAGATCCTGTTCTGGAGCATTATGTATCACAGAGAGCTTGCTGTTTTGTGTACAATTTCTTTTTTGGACTATGTCTTTCAGTAAAACATTTTCTTCCTCTGTCTACAGCTGTGCAAGGCAACCACCATGAGAGGCAGCCTGCCCACATTCACTCTCTTGGGCAGGCTGGCAGATGCCATCCCTGTCCTAGCTGATTTACTGGTGGTTGAGCACAGTGAGTCATCTGTCATGCCMCACTGAAGTTTTCATCCAGGTAGTATTCACAGCCCTAGCACACTCCTGTCCCCAGCGTGAAGAACCTTCATGAAGGTCACATGCAAGACCCCTGTCCTGGAAGGTGGAGTGGCTTTGGGGCCTCCTGGGTTGCAGATCAGCACCTTAATACAGGCTTGTCATTGCGCTCTGTGAAGTGAAATCTGTAGGTGTGCCTTGCGGGGGATACACATTTGTTTTTTCTTGCCCTGGTTCACCCCCCAGGGCTATGCTGGGATGAGCGTCCTCAGCCTTTGTTGGCAGTAGCTGGGATGGTGGGCCTTCATCTGATGAACGGTGAGCCCCTCCAGTCATTTCTTTCTGCACCTCTGCTCAGAGACTCCTAGGAGCATTCCCCACRCCTCTAAATGTGTGACTGCATCAGGGGGAGAGCTAGAGGTGAAGTAGTTACTTAATTGTGGTATTACTGGATCTGTACGCACAGGTCTATGCAGTGGCCTTTCACAGGCTTTTGAGGGAAATGGTTGTTTCAGAAATGTCTGTTCTGTGGTGTAATTGCTTGCCCTTACTGTTCCCAATGCCAGGTAATGTGGTGGATCACCTGCTGATGGGCTTGACGTATCCAAATGAAGGTGTAAAGGCTGCTGTGTGCTACCTGTACGGCAAGCTGTACTCGTCCCCTGTTGGCGCAGAGCGGCTCTCGGCACACTTCACAGAAAGGCTCTGCGCCCCCTTCTTGAATACCTTGGGCCATGCCCAGACGAAGGAGCTGCAGGTCAACTGTTTGGGTAAGGTCTTTCTGAGAGAAGCTGAGAGGTGCAGGGGAATGTTTGGGACAGAGGAGGAAGGTCATCACTCATCATGTGGGTCGTTTCCTAGAGGGGCATTAAACAAACTCCTAGGTGATTAGGCTGCCCTGTAGCAGGGGAGCCTTGTCTGAAACAAGGATCCTTTCCATTACTGTAGAGTGGTCCAGCCTGGCTGTTGAGCTTCCCCAGGCCTTTGTTGTCCCTCCAGTCCCATGTTTGCCTGGCACTATTTTTTTTCAGGCTTGGCACTGCAGCTTGACCCATCTCATCCTTGGAAAGACCACCCGTCAAAGACTGTGTGTGCAAACACTAGGCACAGACTGGTGGGTTCCGTAGAGCAGTGGAACGAGTCTAACAGATATTGTCTTCTGATATGGGGGAATGTGTTAATTAGGTTAGAAAGCTAATGTGGAAACAGCACTTTCTTGCATTCATGCTTCCAACTGCTTTTATCAACTGTGCTGAAGAATGCAGTTCCAGCCCTCCTGGCACTGCTTGTTTCCAACCATCCAAGGAATTCCTCTTTCATGTAGGAGGTAAACAGGAATTGGATTGCTCCTTGGGTCATCTGCTCAGCTGGTGGAAATGAATGTACCCTGGTGATTTTTATCAGTACCTATAGCAATGCTCTGTGCTTTTATACTGTTTTGGTTTGTTTGTTTATTTGCTTTATTGATACCCTTTAACTGAATACAACTGTTTCAGTAAGAGCATGAAAGTAGGAAGGGAGGATGAGCACCAGTTATTTAGGAAGTATTCTGTGGAAAATCTGTGATTGATCACTGGTTGTAGCTTGGGAAAAAAAAACACAGGTCAAGAGCTCTCTCAAGAAACAGTTTAGGGGGAAGATACAGGAGCCAGAGAGTGCAGTCATGTTCCTGAAATCATTTAGCATTGTACCTGCACATCTTCAAGAAGGACTAGGGAGGATATCAGATCTAGCAAAAAGAATCAGCAACATGGGGTTGCAAGATCTGTGTCTCTTGGAAGCATCCGGGGTGCTATCAGCAGAAGCTCCCTCGATGTGAGATGAGGGACTTTGCAAGGAGTGCAGGATAGGGGAGGAGCTGGCAACGAGCCTTAGCCTGTAACTATTCCTATGTTAATGTAATCCTGTAATCCTTCGTGTGCCCAATGTGATGCTTGCTCCCCCTCCCTGTTTTGAAGGTTTGCTTAAGGAGCTGCTGAAATCTGACCATTTTGTGTCCATTCTTATGAATAATTCAATGATAGAGGAGGAGTGTGAGGACCCAGACTTTTTAGAAGGCGAAAACCCACTGCCACTTATTCTCAAAAAGGTAATGGATGAAGTAGCCTTACAGCATGCAACCTGTGACTTCCTAATAGGTTGTTCCTTTTCCTGAGGTGAATTGTTGGTAGAATTAAAGAATTTGCTGGACTGTAAGGAGTCTTTAGTAGAGGCACTTAACTATGCTGGTGCCAACACTGACCAGCTAAAGAGGCTGCAGTGGAAGATGGAGGCACCCCCATAGATCATCCCACTGCTCATTCCTGTGTTGGGGAATTTTTCCCTGTGGCCTCAGCTGGTTTTACTCACAGACACTGGAAGTCTGATACAGCCCTTGTAGTGTGTCAGCATAACTGAGCATGAGTGCAAAGTTATCCTTACTCGCAGTCTTCTCTATTGTGACTTTCGTTTTGCTTTTTTTGAGGTTTGGCTCAGTGTTTTATATATGTCCAAAGAGAAATCTTCATTTCTTTCTTAGATTTTAAAATTTAGAGAAAGCTATTTGCTCTTCTCTCTGTACCATTGACTTCCTGCCTCCTTTTGACTTTTTTTTTTCCAAACAGCTTTTGTTAAGCAGAGACCAGATGTTACAGGCAGCAAGTTCTCACTGCATGGCTGCAGTGCTGGTTCACTCTCCCAGCAGATACGCTCCTGCCTTTATCCATGCCGATGTCCCAGGTGAAGTGCAGCAACACCTATTGTTTGTCACCCTGCTTGTTTGTACTAGGAATCTCTCTGGCTCTGGGAAACCCACTGGTGACAGAATCTGTGCAATGATTTTTTTTTTTTTTTGTAACCATAAAAATAGATAATGTGCTTTTAGGAAGAGAAGCAAAGAATAATTTTTCAACTGCAATTGTAGAAGCAGCTGTCAACAGGCAGAATGGAGATGCCACAACAAGAATTTGGACAGGTCCTTTATCAGCTCTGTCTCCCACTTGTAAGATGTCAGTTGTGCAGGTGATCTGTAGTCCACTTGTCATATGGAGAGCAGAGTGCTCTCTATACCACGTTATGTAACCACGTTACATTGCTAGCTGCCCCCTGCAGCATCTGAGTTTTCTTTTAAAACCTTTACTCCTATGTCTCACGTGTTTCAGGAGAGACTGCATTTTGTTTAGATTCTAGCCTGCACAATATAGCTGCAAAGCCTTAACAGGCTGGAGTCACATCTTATCCAGCTATCTGGTTGTGAATTTGCACAGAATTTGGCCTAGGATTTAGCTTTGGAGTCCAGCTGTGGGTGCTGGCTCATTATTTCACTCTTCTCTCAGTAGACAGATATGCTTTGGTTTTGTAAATCCCTTAGCAGATGTAAAACTTTGATGAAAAAAAATCACTGCATCTGTGGTAAAGCTGGCTTCGTGATTCTTCGTTTGTGCCAAAGACTAGAGCCACAAGTCAGCTCCTGCCTGTAGAGTATGTGCTGGGAGGATGTCTGCCTGCAAACTCTACTCACTTTGTTTTGAAAACTAGCTTAACTCCAAGAATCCACTGCCTTCTCCCTCGCTGCTGTTTCACACTATAACCATTCTCCCTCTGGCTGTTGCTATGATTGCTGGTTTCCTTCTCTTCCCTCTACTGTGTTTTAGGAGCAGCTGTGAGCAGACTGCCCCTTACCTCTTCCTTATTTATGTGCGCTTGCAGAATTCCTGTTTGAGTGTCTCTCATGCACCAATGAAATTCTCATCTGGTCAGTATATTGCTGCTTGCTGCTCCTCACTGAAGAGCGCCTGTTCTTCTCCAAGTGTCACACGGTGTATGGTGAGTCATGCCTGTCCCACAGAGCGACTGTGGTGTTCCTGGGGGCATTTGCTGTGCCCCTAGCTGAGTTTCAGTGCTTGAGGAACAATCCCATGTCAGGGGATGGGGTGAATCCCCGGTTAGGATGGGTGAAGGATTGCAAATGAGAATCCACCAGATAGGTTTGTAATGTTTTCATAGTTTGAATTCACAGTGTCTCTGACCTAATGAGTTCCTATTGAGCAAATGTGCTTTATAATAGCCAGGCCTCATGACTGACACTACCTCAGGACTTATTGGGTGTTTTTGTGGAGATGCCAATGATGGACTTAGGAAAAGAAGCCAAATTCCTTCCTTTTTTCTGGACTTTCCTCCAGCAATGGAGGTTGAGACCTATTTTGAGGGAGCTTAATTAACCCAGTGTTTTGGGCAGTTTTTTCTGTCAGAGACTCAGAAGAATGCTTGTTGAAATCTTTCTTCCTTTAAAAAAATAATTTTGGTCCCATTCTGGATTTTAGGGTGTGTGTTAAAAGCCTTCTCTGTGCCTTGAACATGTGCAGGTGTTGAATCTCTAATGAGGAGCCTCCGAGATGTCCTGCAGATGAACAATGTAGAGTTGCACAAGCAAGGGCTGCTGCTCTTCACTGAAATCCTGAAACGGTAAGGGCTGCCCCTTAGCAGGTTTGCCGACACAGAACTTCTGCTCCCAGGATGGAAGCTTTGTGGGTTTTACTTTTTTTTTTTCCAAAACCAAATATCTATGCCCCAGAGCCTTTTGTATTTGCAAGATGTTGCTGAACAAGCACATCTCCCTTATCCTTGTGAAGAAGGGCCTGCTGGTTGTTCTTGGACCTCGCAGCATATAGCCAGTGATGTATCTGCTTCTTCTGCCTCCTTTTCTTGTTGAGAGGCAAAATCTACTCTCGGCAATAGAGAGGACAGAAGGGGCAGGCTGGAATCTCCCAGGTATAGGTGAGCAGACCCGCTTCTGTTAAGTGCATCTCTGACAAAATGGAGCGTGCAGATTCCATGGCTTTTGGTCCTGTGTCTTCATCTGAGCTAAATTCAAAGAAGACAAACAAATTCCAGGCTGAAATATTAATGGCTTCTGTCACTTTTTACTCTCTTTTTCTACTAAAGAATAACAAATCTTGGCTTGTTTTTCTTCTATGGTTCCTGTTCCTGCCTCTATGATTTTGTTCCTGTCTTGTCATGCTGTTGTCACAGGCTTCTTTTTCGCTGCTTAGTTCCCCCAAGAGAGCCCTTGAGCTGAATTTCAGAGATGTCATTGTCAAGTCTGCAGCAAGTGGCATGGATAGAAGGGGAAAGAAAAGCAGCAGTGTTGGAACACTGTGATGATGCCAGTGTGGGCATCTGTCAAAAGGAGAAACCAGAATGTGGGAAACACTAATTACAGCATTAATGCTTGTAAAGCGGAGAGAACGCTCTGCCCAATTACTCTAATTTTCTAGCGTTCACATTTTGGTTGACTCTGGCTTACCGTAGAAGTGTAGTTTGATTTAAAACTCCCCAATGTCAAGAGAAAGGGGTCTTCTCCTGGAATCTCTCCTTCTTGTTTCCCTTGCGGCAGCTCTCTCTTGCTTTGCACTTCCCCAGCGCCCTAGCACTTTCTAGGCCAGACTCTCCGCTTTTGCATTATTAGGAGCGTTGGGGGTGTTGGGTAGCTCTCCCTGTGCTTCTCCCAGCACCCCTGGAACAGGGGGCACAGTTTGGGGCCCAAAGACAAGAAAGTGCACAAAGCTGCAGGAGTGTTGTCCTTCGTCCTTTTTTTTTTTTTTTTTTTTTTTTTAACTCCCCCAATCCCCAAAGACATCAAAATGAGCCATATTGCAAGTGGGTTTCTGCCTCTTGAGTGAGTCAGCAGTACTCCTCCAGGCCTTCCTCCTCCTTGCATGAGTCAGTGACGACTCTTCTGAGGTGTTTTACTTCAGAAGGTCAGTGATTAAAGGAAGAAAATGCAGGGGATTAATAGAATTTAAGTATCTGTAGTAGGAACAATGTGAGGTTCAGCATACCCCCTTATCATGGCTTGGGCCATGGTCCAGGCTCCTGAGCTCCACAAGACCTTCTCTGCCTTGCCCACCTCCCAGCTTTTACTCACAGCAGAAATGAGGCGACTGTTAAGTTGGATTTGAGTGACTAAAAGGAAAGCTTCTGCCTCTGCTCCCTTTTTACCCTGCAGCTGGGCTACTTGTTTGATTTCTGCTGAAGTTCACTTTTTGCTCTCAAATGTGCATGGGAGCGTGTGCTCCTGGTGCACTCATCAGGCATGTCTGTGAAAACGGAATAACAGGGAATGGTTTTGGCTCCAAGTCTGGCTTCTGTTGTGCTGTGCTTCTTCTCTCTTTCTCTCTCTCTGGCTTCACTAGCTGGTCTGTTTGGTGAGGCCCTCTGGCAAGCCCATTCCCACATGTAGCTGCCTGCTTCCCCCCTCCTTCCCAAATGTACCTGACCTGTCAGGAACCTTCCTTCCATTTGTGCAGCTTGACCCAATATCAGAGTTAATGACTCCACATCCTCTGGTGCTCTGATGTGGAAAGCTCAAAGGTGATCAGACAATGGAAGTGCTCACTCTCAATCAAAAATGTCAAAACAGCCGGGTTAAGTTTTTACTTTTCAAGTTCATGAAAGTCCAGGGACTTGGACTTTCCTGGCAGCATCTGATGTTAGAAATGTCACAGGACTGTGAGAGAAGCTATTCTCGTGGCCTCATCCTTGCTTTAGGATGGCAGTGTTTACATGCTTACGAGAAATGTGAATTTCCTGATGAATCCTCAAATACTAGAGCAGATGGGCTCAGCATAAAGTCCTAGGCGGAGAGATCACTTTGTTTTGCAGAACCTGTTTTTCATGTGCGTTTCATATCAGGATATGCTGGCACAGTCACACACATATCCAGGCTGTGGGTTTTTTCACTGTAGAAGGGCTCCAGACACGCTCAAGTTTGAGACTGCATTCCTTGAGAGCAGCTGGCTCCCAATACTACAAAGCATGGAACTGCATGGCTCAGCTATCAGCTATAGTGTGGTGAAATGAGGAGTGGGTGTTACAGTTATTGTCAGTTTATTCTGACAATAATCTTTTTGCTGTTTCCTCTTTTCAGGCAACCGGTGGAAATCAAATTATTCACAAACCGAGGTATATGTAAAGAAGCCATTGATGTGCTGCTGGAGACAGTGAACTGCCCAGTGCTAGAGGTGGCAGTGGAGGCTGTGAAGGCTGTGGCAGCCTTTCTGAGGTAGGCATGAAGGTGTTTATAGGTCAGATAGGTCTGCTGATACCGTGTTGGTGTCTGGCTCCTCTGGGACTGTGTGGGTGAGCGTGCTCCGCAGAGGGAATTCTCACTGCGACAAGCGTAGGTACTACAGAGCTACACGCAGGAAAGAGGGCTGTAGGGCAGTGTAGCTGTGGTGGGCAGCAAGGCGCTGCAGCCAAGACCTAGGGTCCCAGGCAGGCTTGTAGCACCGAGGTCACTGAGGCTTTGCGTGCCCTGTCTGGGTAGGTGATGAGTACCGCATGGCCTGTCCCTAGCAGGGAGYGCTCAAGCTTTGTCTCCTTCTGTGCAGGAAGGAGCATCTGAGCTGCCCCCCGGTCCTGTACGCGGAGCTGCAGAAGCTGCTGGGGACGGTGCTGAAGCGATGCGCTGACCTCTCCCCACCGCAGAGCAGCAAGAGGCGTGCAGTGAGTCTGGAGGGGGTGTTGTCCCTTGGAAGGAGCAAATAGGGCAGGAACGACCCTCTTGGCACAATATGTGGATACTGTGGATGCATTTCAAACCTTCTGCCTGTGACTGTTGGGTTCTCTGGTGCTTCTTCATCCCCATGCCTGGAGAAGTCTGCARTCTTTGTCTCTGAGGTCGCTGAGGCTGAGTGCTGGGGAATGCTCAGGTTGCTACATCAGTGRAGATACCTGGGACACCACTTGAGTGCGCTGTTCCTTTTAGGTGTCCAGTGCTTCCAGGTCATTTAAACCTCCCCTTTTTCAGGGCCACACCTTGTAAGGTTACCTTTTTTTTTTATTATTTATTTTTAACTTAATTTTATTTTTAATTTTATTTTTAGCAAAGACCATGCCTTCTGGTGCTTTCCGATCAASAGAGTCAACTTGCATGCACTGAGATGCCTCAGCAAGGGAATTATTAGCCACTATTTGAACTGCAAGTCCTTTCCTGTTCCATGCAGTTAGTTTGATGTGCTGCTGGGAGCTGTACACCCTTGAGGACTGTCCCCTTTTCAGATGGCTGAATGAAAAGACAAGGGCTCGGCTTCATTGCTGTGGCTTTAGGAGCATGTGGTTTAAATCACAAATCTGTTTGTCGAGGCAAGACCATCTTGCTGGAGTACCAGAGAGCCAAATGGCTGCTGAACTGTGTCTAGACGTGCAGCCCATGCTGTGTGACACTRCTTGGAGATAACGGGGTTGCTTTCTGCCTGAAGGATAGACATTTGTYAGTCTGCACACTCAGAGCTTGGTGCCCTATTCAGAGTAAGAGGCCTTATAGGAAGGAAAATACGCAAAGGGTAAGGACATCCAGGCAGTCTGTAATGGGAAGCAGGGGAAATGAAATGATTGCACCTCTGGTAAGGTGTCTCAGCATCAAATGGGGAAGGAATTTGTAGATGTTTTGATCTGCCATGGCTTGATGGAACTAGTTTGCTGTGTCCTTCTGGCCAARCTTGATGGGATGCTGCCTGGGAACAACAGTCAGCATGAGAGGTTGCTTCCAAGATTTAAGTGCTAAGCAGGAAGAAGAGTTGTTCAACGCTCTCCAAAGCAGAATTGGAGGAAAATAGATTTTTTAAAAAACTCATATGTTTTCCCTGAAATCTTTGAAGCTTCGTTTGCTGAACTGTTTGAAACTCTGACTAGTCCAAAACATGGCAATAGAGACTGTACTATTCAAGGGATGGGGCAATGCAGAATTAGCAGCTTTCTTCCCTCAGGAAAGCAAAGTAACCCTCTAACCCTTCCCTGCCTAGGAAATTGCAATAGCAAAGACATAGTTATATAAAGGAAGTGAATAAAGTGAAATATTTTTTTTCCTTCTTGCTGCTTGTATTGGAGAAGTAAGCTCTTTTATTTCACAATGAACACAAGATCTTGAAGACTTCTCTCCTTYAACAGGGTGACCTCCTGTTCTCAGTGCCTCAGAGTCACACAGGAAACAGAAACCTTAGCAGAGTTTCTCAGAGACAGGGCCAGTTCTTGCTTCATGCCCTGGAAAGTTTCAGAAATGCTTGTAGGTAAGGGCTAGCCGAGGAGTGTGGGTGTGTGTGGGAGGGTGAGTCCTGACACATCATCGCTGGATTTCTCTGCCTTGCAGGATCAGAGGGGAGTTCACTGTGTGACACTTGCCAGTGAAGCTCCAGAGTGAGGGAGTGAGAGACATTGAGGATAGTGGCAGCTTTGTGGTACCTGCAGGTACCTCCCAAGAAACTTATSTGAGATCTATCAGTTTATTTAATCTCTTTGGCCTTTGAGGAATTGCTTGAAAATGAGATTAAAAAGAAACTGGAGGGTATGATTATCAAAATCCAGTAATGATGTAAGGACTGATGGAAGGTGTATGTGAAACCATATTCCTTTTCTTATGCCCYGGGCTATGCAGTCTCACTGCTGGAGAGGATTAAGCATTTAACAAATTAGTATCTAGTCCAGCTGCTGGACATTTATTTGCTTATGTCTGTATCCTGTTACTCYATGTGGGTTTGTAGGCACCAGTTTTTCCTGTTCTACTGCATGGGAGACATCTCCTATCTGGCCAGGAGAAAATGGAAGATAGGTTTGCAGAGGAAACCCCATCTGCTGTGWGGGAAGGCTGGTTTTATGAGCTTTGCTTTATTGGCTTCCAGCCATTCCGGCCCAGCTGAGTACATTCAGTCTTGCCACACTGAGGCCTCCCACTGAAGATACTTCCTTCAGAGAAGCTCAGTCTTCCTTTTCCCGACTTGTGCTGCAGTTACAAAACATTGCTCACTTCTAGTAGCTTCACTCAGGAAGGAGTTGTTACTGCCAGAAGAGTTTGCAATGCATTGTGTGTTCCTAGGGTCCCTAAAGGTGAAAGCTGTGAAGGAAATGCAGTATCTCCTAGCTTCCTTTATTGAGTGGGGAGACTTCCTCTCTCCTCTGGGGTTTTCTGTGTGTTTGTAGGTTGGCAGTGGAGTTCCAGAGCGACCCGATGGCCCAGGAGAATGCCTTCACTGCCCCCGACTGCGAGAGCAGGGACACTCTAAGCAACTTCTCTGAGTTCCTGTTGAGGATTTGTGACAATCTCTGCATCCCCATGGTCATGGTAGGGTTTCTTTTGAACTTGGTGTCTTCCCAGGGTACCTGGATAGATGTTCTCAGGGATGGAGGGATGATGGGAAAAGACRTTTTCGGAAGAGATTATGTAGCATAAACCAAGTGCAACTGTGGCATTTGCCACCTCTCCAAAGATGAGTGCAGCATTATTGCATTCATGCAAACTGGGAGTGTATGGATCTGAGGGTGGGGAAGTTCATAAAGCTTCCGTAGAAACTGCAAAGTCTTCCTTCAGASTGTGCAATCCCCATAGCAAACCTGACATGTTACCTAATCTGCAGCTGTTGTGGACAATTAAAAATGTGGGAGTTTTGTTTCCAGAAGGCAATTTTGAGCTTGTCCAGCAGACATAGCAAGGATAATGTTAGGCAAGGATAATATTAGGCAAGTATGGTTTGAAAAGTAGCAATGGAGTCACTTGTGCTTTAGTGTTCCATGGCAGCCTGTCACTAAGACACTTTGAGTGGGATTATCCAAATAGTGGGACTCAGATGCACTCCCAAGCGTTGAGTAAGTTTTCCTTGTATTTTGCCACTGTTTCACATACACAGCTTCTTGCCACTGCTGGGGGCTTGAGGGTGTTCTGTTTTACATTTGTAACAGTCGCAGGCATCTTTACTGGCTTGCTATTCTCACCCTTGAAAGCAGGGTGTAGTGCAGTGCAGGCTGGCAAAGCTGGGGTGGGTGTGCTGCTGCTTGCTCACTGGACCTGGGCAGAAATTGGGGACTGTGGTAAAATTGCCCTGCGGCTCTCTGTAAGAGTGAGTCGAGATGTTCTGTTCTAAACCATTTAGGGCTAGACCCTGCAGAGGACTTAAATGTCTGTATTTGCTACTACATAGCAAAACACTGAAGCCCAGGTGCTAAGTGGCATTAAAGTCAGCTGTACCTGGGTGTGTGCCCCGTGTCTTGCTGCAGAATTAGACATTTGACCTGCTTTAGTAGTTATGTCTAGGGTTACATGAACAGTAATGTCAGTAGTTATGTCAGGGTGTAACTGGCTGCCAGCTGGAATGAGGAAGGAGTTTCTTGTTTGATGCAATGTCTTGCAGAGGTAGCAGCATCGCTCATAAACATCGGGTGGGGGAGCGTTAGTTGCTTTCAAAATGCTCTGCGAGACTGTGTACCTGCTGCCAGGCAATTTCATAGAAGGGCTGTTAGTGCCATTTATGTGGATTTGGAGATCTAATATTCTGGATAGGGGAAGCAGAAAGAGAGCTGCTGTTTTCTGTATGCATCACATACCACCCATCTGATCTTTTCTTCATTCCTTCCACAGAGCTACCTGGAAAGGGCTGTCAGCCCATCAGTGATGGAGGTTTTCATATCAGCCCTTAATACCTTGTTTACAGTGATGCCAAACATGAGGGATAAGTTCTCCAAAAAGCTGGGTACGGATCATGTGCCCTGTGCTGCTTTGCTTGACAGACAGAACTTGCTGCTGCTGCGTATTTTGAGGCAATGAGCTTAACAAGACTTTCAGTGGGGGATTACACTGCATGTTTGTGTGGGTAAGAACAGAGGGTGCAGTCATGTTCAGTAGGATGAAAAGTTATTGCTCTAGGAATGGTGATAGGACTGATCTTATCTAAGTAAATTGTGTCAGCTTTACCCCTTCCTCTGGAATATTCAGAGCTGCCGGTTTCTGTAGATAGGAATTACGCTGGAGTTATCACTTGGCTTTTATTGTATAGAAACCTATTGACTTTGTGTCTTCCTTACTCTTTGTAGATCAGAGAGTGATGTACAGATTCCCTCTTTTCTAAATATGTAGAGCTAGTAAATCTTTCCTTCTCCTCCTGAGAAAGCAAATGAATCTCAGTTGCTGTCCTCCAAATCAATGGTTATGAGACCTGTGTACTCTTCTCTCTTATCAGACACACTTGGGACTCTTTAGACGTTTCTGTCTTGCTTTCTCTCCAGCATCCTCCTCCTTCATCCACCTGACATTGGAGCTGAAGGCCAGATTTTGCTCTGTGCAAAGGTATTGTTATGTGTACGTTGGAAGTGAGTCATAATTTTCCAGGTAGGAAAGCAGATCACAGATATGTAAAGCAGCTGAATTAGGCAAGAATGGAGCCTTTTCTCACAACTATTTTTTTTTTTTTTTTGGTCTTGGCTAATTGTTCATCACTGGAAACATCATTGTCCCAGAATTTTCTTAATAGGGTTTGTCAATGGTATTGGGAACCCCTCCTCACAAACCTCTCTTTTTCTGTGATRTTAAAGATAATGACATTATCCCAAGGTATCCGTGTATATTCAGTATTATCGCTGCTACTGTGTTTGCCACATCTGTCTCGTTGTGGCAGAGCAGGTATTTGTGTGTGATCATTCAGTAAACTGAAGCTTGACAGATGCTATGTGATATTAGAAGG